GGGCGCCTGGCAAACCTACGGATAGCGTTCCGATACCTCAGTAAGGATTCGTTTAAGACTCTGTATACCATTTACGTCAGGCCCATACTGGAGTATGCAGCACCAGTTTGGAATCCACACCTAGTCAAGCACGTCAAGAAATTAGAGAAAGTGCAAAGGTTTGCAACAAGACTAGTCCCAGAGCTACGGGGATTGTCCTACGAAGAAAGGTTGAGGGAAATCGGCCTGACGACACTGGAGGACAGGAGGGTCAGGGGAGACATGATAACGACATATAAAATACTGCGCGGAATAGACAAGGTGGACAAAGACGGGATGTTTTCCCGAGAAAGGGGCACAGACACAAGAGGTTTACAATTGGAAGTTGAAGACTCAGATGAATCAAAGGGATGTTAGGAAGTATTTCTTCAGTCATAGAGTAGTCAGGCCGTGGAATAGCCTAGAAAGTGACGTAGTGGAGGCGGGAACCATACATAGTTTTAAGGCGAGGTATGATAGAGCTCATGGGGCAGGGAGAGAGAGGACCTAGTAGCAATCAGCGAAGAGGCGGGGCCAGGAGCTGTGACTCGACCCCTGCAACCACAAATAGGTGAGTACAAATAGGTGAGTACACACACACACACACACGAACTATTAAATCTCTGCACCAAATTCACCTTAAGTCAGTAAATAGTAAAGCCTACAAGACTAGAAAATACGCTGGACCTCATCTTCACTAACAACGACGATCTGATACGTAATACGACTGTATCAAAGACAACACACTCAGATCACAACATAATAGAGGTACAGACTGTATGCACAGGGCTCCAGACCAGCAAAATGTGAGCAGTCATGAAGGTTTGTTCACGAAATTCAATTTCAATAACAAAAACATACAATGGGATCAAGTAAACCATGTCCTAAATGAAACAAGCTGGGAAGATATCCTAAACAACACGGATCCGAACATTTGCTTTGAAAAAATGAATTCTGTGGTTCTTGAGATCAGCTCAAGACACATTCCATTAAGAAAAAGAAAGAGAAGATGTAAACTAGAAAGAGAGAGATGTTTCCTATACAGATGAAGGCAAAGAGTCACAGAGCTGCTAAGCAGGGCCAATATATCTGAAATACGAGGGGAGGCACTAGTCAATGAAATTACAAATACTGAACTTAAGCTGAAGGAATCTTATATAAGACAAGAATCACAGGAAGAACTAAAAGCCATAAAGGAAACTGAAAAAAAAAAACACTTCTTATGCCAAATCTAAGGGAAAAACAGCATCCAGTATTAGGCCCCTGCTTAGGCGAGATGGGTCATACACAGATGACATCCAAAAAATAAGCGAGATACTAAAGTCCCAATATGACTCAGTGTTCAGCAAGCCACTGCCCAGACTAAAGGTTGGCAATCCAAATGAATTTTTTATGAACGAAACCCAAAATTTGGTCACCCCAAAAATCGGTATTATTTAACCCCAAAAAGTTTTGAAGGGGGAAATTAATGAATGACCATGCACTCTGCATCAGGCCCAGACTCTTTGGAATCCTGTTCATCAAGAATTGAAAGAAGCCCCTTTTGCGGCCTTCACATTTTTTGGAGGGGGAGCATGGCCAGGGGTTATCCCAACACTAAAAAAACCCCAGACTAGCCCCACCCCAAAAAGGGTGGCAGTAAAGCAATTGCAAAGAATAGCCCGATAGCAAAAACTTTTTCCATTAAAAATCTTTAAAGGGGTTCTAAAAGCAAGAAAACCCAACCACCTAGAACCCATCAGTTACAAAACCCCAGGGCAAACAGGGTTTTGGGAGCAGGTCGCCCCTCCCTTCCCAGATAAACCCACATGAAAAAGGCCCTGGATGCGTAGGGGAAAAACAAAATCAGTGTAGTATCAAAAGCAAAAGCTTTCGAAAAGTGGTGTAATAGAACAAAACGCGTGGAAAGGAATAACGGGAAAAGTTGGTAGATGGATCTAATTTCCTGAAAAATAAACGCAAAGAGTAATAGAAAAACGAGAAAGTCCCGGCACCCGGTTAAAAGCTCTGTTCGGAAAAAGGCACGTACTCCTCCCATTCTTCCTTTACCCTCATTTTGACAGGAGTAAACCATAGCTCCGTCCCTTTCCCTTGCGGATAAACCCAGGATTCCAGGGCAGTGACCCCCATTGAAGCACCGGGGAACCCAGGAACATCAACCAAAACTTCGAAAGGCCCCAACAAACAATAGAAGTTCAAAGAGGAGAAATTTCAACTACTCAATATGGGAAACTTGAAGAAATTAAAAATGTGTCAGGGTAACAACAAATTTAACCATACAAAAAGAGCAAGGTAATGTAAAGGGCCCGGGAGTGTAATGTAGAGGTCTCGCCTTCAAAGACCATAACAATATATCTACCTCTCTGTTAGGGAAAATGATAGGATGGAAAGGGGAAACCCTTTAAAAAAAGGGGGGCCAAGCCCCGTTGATTCCTCAAATTTTCTTGTTTTCTGGTTTTGGGAAAAACTGCTGTACACTAACGACCCCTTTTAAAAGGTGGCGACATTTCAGACGGGAAGGGAAAAAATAACTTTCACGGCCACATAAGTATGGTAAGGCGTCTAAACACTGGGAAGGTTTTAAGGGCCCTTTAAAATACATGATAATATAACTTGGAAGGTCCTGGAGGGCTTGGTACCCAAACTGCACACGAAAATCCTCCCTTGGAAAGCAAAAAATCAGCAGGAAATCAACAATATCCCGTGAAAAGCAGGGGCGCAAAGAGTAATGAGAAACACAATAAGTGCCCGGGGCCCCAAAACTGTTCAAATTGTCTCCCAGCATAAAGGGGGGTTACCAATAGTCCCTCTGTTTCAAGAAAAAAAAAATAAATGCTAGGGGACCTAAAGTCATACTGACCCCAAACCGGGCGGGGGGTTCAACGTCAGCGGTGGGCCAGAGTAAAGCCTGGTTGATCAACCGATCCCCCATGAGCCTGGTTCCCGAAGGGCCGCGGGGGCGTGACCCCGAAAAACCCCCTTTCCCTAAACTCCAGGTAGCCCCTCACCTCCCAAAAGTTTTTTATATCTTTCTTAACTTCCTCCTTTTTAGTATATAAACCTTCACCTCTCTCTTACTTGATGCTTCTATTTTCCTTGTATCCCATCTACCTTTTACTCTCACTGTAGCTACAACTAAAAAATGATCTGATATATCTGTGGCCCCTCTATAAACATGTACATCCTGAAATCTACTCAACAGTCTTTTATCTACCAGTACATAGTCCAGCAAACTACTGTCATTACGACCTACATCATATCTTGTATACTTTTTCTTAAAATATGTATTACCTATAACTAAACCCCTTTCTATACAAAGTTCAATCAAAGGGCTCCCATTATCATTTACACCTGGCACCCAAAATTTACCTACCACACCCTCTCTAAATGTTTCTCCTACTTTATCATTTAGGTCCCCTACCACAATTACTCTTTCGCCAAGACCGGGGTCCTGGCATGGATCTAATATTGTGATGACCCGTTTCGGGGCAGCAGTACACGTGTAGGAAATTATTTATAGTGTTCGCTGCCCTCACTAATCGAACACCGGACCGTTTGGGTGTGAGTTGAATGCTTTGATCTCTCAGAATGGGACCTCCGAATTATATAAAGGAATATAGGAGTGTGGGATACAAGATGTGCAGAGGTGGAAAACTGTAGGAGTACTGTACCCTTGACAGATTTAGAAAGGATGTAGGAAAACACTGGTTTGGCAGTAGAGATGTGGATGAGTGGAACAAACTCCTAGGTAACATTATTGAAGCTAAAGTGCTGTGTTGGTTTAAAAAATAGGTTAGACAAATACACGAGTGGGTGTGGGTGGGTGTGAGTTGGACCTGACTGGATTGGGCCAGTAGGTGACTTGGACCTGCCTAGCATGGGCCAATAGGCCTGCTGCAGTGCTTCTTCTTATGTTGACTACCATGGGTAGCACAACCCTAGGGAGCGTCACAGTCCTGGGGGCGTCACAGCTCTAGGGGGCATCACAGCCCTGGGGGCATCACAACCCTGGGGGGCATCACAGCCCTGGGGCATCACAGCCCTGGGGCATCACAGCCCTGGGGCATCACAGCCCTGGGGGCATCACAGCCCTGGGGGCATCACCGCCCTGGGGCGGGGGTACAACCAGTCTTGTTTTTATTACTGAAGATGACTAAGACAACGCTGACTCAGTGACACGGGAACACCGTGAAATATTTCATAGTATTATTATTAATTTTCGGAAGCTTCGTGGAAATAGCGAACCCCCCAAAAAAATGAATTTTTCATCACTGGCTCACAGCACCGTGTTTCATAAACACTTTCAATAAATGCTTTCCATCGCGTCGTAGAAATTCTGACGCGTTGAGGCAGACAATTGGAAAGGTTTGAATTTGACTTTTTTTTTTTGTAATGAATATGTCACTCACTATTATAGATTTGCATTGAATTGTTCATTGATTTATGCTTTAATTATAAATAAAACAGCATTTCGTTGTTGAACAGAAAGGTAAATCACTAGCAAGTGTTGAATGGAGTGACATTGTAGTTACACAAACGCATATTATACACTGATCAGTGACGCAGACGAAGCTACGTGGAGAAAATAAGAGAAGGCAAGAGGAATACTGTATACAGTGTAAATCTTTCGAGAACTAGATCTCTCTTGATATGTATACACTGAGAGCAGCAGTGTATATACACTTGCAGTGGTGTGTATCTCAGTATTTATGCACTTACAGTTTTCACTAATCCCTGCTTTAGAGATTAAAGTAACCTTGACTTGTGTTCAGGCAACATGTATCTTTAATGACTCTCGTTTAGTTGATCGGCTTTTAACCCAGTAAACCAGCTAGAGCAGCATATTTTAACCAACCATCCAGTCTATTGACGAAAATCTCAGTGCCAGGTCGAAACATATAATACACTTCCCCATCTTCGGACTTATTTTTCTCCCGTGGATTGTTTGCGTCACACTTGAGTAACATGAAGTCACTTCTCACCTTGTGATGAGTCTTGTGGGTTGCCTGACGACTTAACTAACCCTAAGTGTTGTGTAGTGAGAGGAGCGGCCAGAGGCGCACCCACCAGCTCTCAATCTCTTGTGACTCCCGTCTCGACCTACTCTATATATATATACAGACGCTAACCACCACTTGAGATGGTTCCTGAACATTCTCACCACCCGAGCCATGTGTTACTCCCGCTACAACCTACACGGTATATATAGCCGCCAGTCAACATTCGAAATTAATCCCCAACACTCCGCCATCGGCTGATGTATCATGGCAACTATTGACAGGAATTTTGTTGAGAACGAGTTGATGAGGTTACAAGTGGTGATTAACACCAACAGGTGGTAGTTAACAAGATTACAGGGGTACATAATGGGCCCAGGGATTGGGCCGCAAAGTTTTGATAGCTGAGCAAGTTGCAAAGGTAATGAACAATTCACACGTCTGCACCTGATCACAATTGCAATGAGTTATTAATGCAAATATTAGTTTCATTTACAGTGAGCAAAGTCAGGTTATTTTTCCAGAATGGTTTGTAACATTCCACTGTGGATAAGCAGGACAGTGTCCCATGACACCGGTTTCAGTCATGGTAACTTTCTAATTGGTTCAGCATCCGCCAGCCTGCCGGAGCGAGGTTTCCACCTCACTTAAACAATCAAAGGATAACTACAAAGTAGAGTACTATGATAACTCCAAATACAGGTGAGTTTATTTACGAATGAAATTTAGAGCGTTTACGATCAGTTTGAGTATACACACGCTGTGAATGGCTGTGTGGATCTGGTCACAAATCGCACACGACGTAGTTCCCTCGGACACACACCAGGTGAATACTTGATTACAGGAGGTGGATGAAGATAGTGGCAAAATGGTATGGTGATACCGAGAAGACTATATGTGGAAAAAGACACTTATGTACAGTTCAGGACATTTATTTGAGGAAACGTTTCGCCACTATTGACTTCTTCAATTCTAGGATGTTTCCTCTAATAAATGTCCTGAACTGTACGTGACTTTTTCCACAGGGAGACAGCTAGTCAGTGTCGTATTATAATTGTGGCAAACTGCCTACAGAGTTAAATAATAAGCAGAGGCGTCGCTAGGGTTGGTGTCACCCGGGGCGGAATCTTTGGTGTCACCCGGGGCAGCATCTTTGGTGTCACCCCTATGAAATCCAAGGGCGGGAGGATTGGGGAAGTAAACTTCAGTTACGCCACTACTGCATGACCAATGACTAATGTTCAGTAATAAGAACGTTTAAGGGCCATAAACTGAACAGGAGAATACTTCTCAACTTTATTAATGATAAAATAAATAATCGTAGTAATATTGAGGAAACTCAAACACCACTTTGAGTACAGACAACAGATCCTACATTTATTCATCTTCAACAATGAAAAAAAAGAACTTGAAAAATAAAGAAAAAAAAATTACGTTTGACCTTAAGTACAGGTAACATCTCAAGTGAATCTGATCCTACATTTCCGTGCCTTCAATCCTGCAAAATCATCAATCACAACATCAAAATCCATGATTTTCCCTGTATAGGCCAATTTGTACACTGTAACCATATAATAGGCTACCTGGAGTTTACCTGGAGAGAGTTCCGGGGGTCAACGCCCCCGCGGCCCGGTCTGTGACCAGGCCTCCTGGTGGATCAGCGCCTGATCAACCAGGCTGTTGCTGCTGGCTGCACGCAAACCAACGTACGAGCCACAGCCCGGCTGATCAGGAACTGACTTTAAGTGCTTGTCCAGTGCCAGCTTGAAGACTGCCAGGGGTCTGTTGGTAATCCCCCTTATGTGTGCTGGGAGGCAGTTGAACAGTCTCGGGCCCCTGACACTTATTGTATGGTCTCTTAACGTGCTAGTGACACCCCTGCTTTTCATTGGGGGGATGGTGCATCGTCTGCCAAGTCTTTTGCTTTCGTAGTGAGTGATTTTCGTGTGCAAGTTCGGTACTAGTCCCTCTAGGATTTTCCAGGTGTATATAATCATGTATCTCTCCCTCCTGCGTTCCAGGGAATACAGGTTTAGGAACCTCAAGCGCTCCCAGTAATTGAGGTGTTTTATCTCCGTTATGCGCGCCGTGGAAAGTTCTCTGTACATTTTCTAGGTCGGCAATTTCACCTGCCTTGAAAGGTGCTGTTGGTGTGCAGCAATATTCCAGCCTAGATAGAACAAGTGACCTGAAGAGTGTCATCATGGCTTGGCCTCCCTATTTTGAAGGTTCTCATTATCCATCCTGTCATTTTTCTAGCAGATGCGATTGATACAATGTTATGGTCCTTGAAGGTGAGATCCTCCGACATAATCACTCCCAGGTCTTTGACGTTGGTGTTTCGCTCTATTTGTGGCCAGAATTTATTTTGTACTCTGATGAAGATTAATTTCCTCATGTTTTACCTATCTGAGTAATTGAAATTTCTCATCGTTTGAACTTCATATTGTTTTCTGCAGCCCACTGAAAGATTTGGTTGATGTCCGCCTGGAGCCTTGCAGTGTCTGCAATGGAAGACACTGTCATGCAGATTCGGGTGTCATCTGCAAAGGAAGACAACGGTGCTGTGGCTGACATCCTTGTCTATGTCGGATATGAGGATGAGGAACAAGATGGGAGCGAGTACGGTGCCTTGTGGAACAGAGCTTTTCACCGTAGCTGCCTCGGACTTTACTCTGTTGACTACTACTCTCTGTGTTCTGTTAGTGAGGAAATTATAGATCCATCGACCGACTTTTCCTGTTATTCCTTTAGCACGCATTTTGTGCGCTATTACGCCATGGTCACACTTGTTGAAGGCTTTTGCAAAGTCTGTATATATTACATCTGCATTCTTTTTGTCTTCTAGTGCATTTAGGACCTTGTCGTAGTGATCCAATAGTTGAGACAGACAGGAGCGACCTGCACTGACAACATTACTGTTTTTTCTGGTTTTAAGTAAGTTTATTTAGGTACAGGTACACATAAGTACAATTATCATACATAGTAACATGTGTATAAATTACCTAGGATAACCCAAGAAAGTCAAAAGTGACTTGTATTTACATTTTGCCCCAGTTATTCCTCCAGCTTTTATATAAGTTAGACAAATAGAAATAAGAGAGGACCCTATTTCTCACTCAAAAACAATAGGTTTTTATTTGTATCTGCAAATCATATTTGAAACTTGTTTTATATATTTCAAAACAGTGTCTTGTAAACATTGAAGTTTACATTAAATGTCTGTAAATATCATATACAGTGGTATCTCGGGTTACAAACTTAATTCGTTCCAGAAGGCTGTTCGAGTGCCGATACGAACGAATT